TTTGAAGCAGGAGTGACATGCAGCAGCGAAGTCGCACTCGAGCGCAAGTGGGGTTGCCACACCTTGCGATGTGTGTACCAGGGCCCCCAGGAAGCCTCAGGAGGCCCGACTTGGATACCAGAAGAGGCTCCAGGAGGCCCCAGGATTGTGAATGTTGTGTATGTGTGTGTGTGTGTGTGTGCGTGTGTGATGTGTGCTTTGTGTGGTGCGTGCTTTTTGTGTGTTGTCGGTGGTGTGTGTGTGTGTATGTTATGTTTGTCTAGCGTGTGATGTGTTGGGCGTGATTTGTGTCTCTGTGTGTGCATGTAGTTCAGAAGCCCCAGGAGGCCCCAGGAGGCCCCAGGCGGCCTCAGCAGGCCCAAGAGAACTCCAGGAGGCTCCGAGGCGGGGTCTGGGGTACCAGAAGGTCCAGAAAGCCCCAGGAGGCCCCAGGAGGTTCCAGGAGGCCCCCAGGAGGCTCCGAGGAGGGGTCTGGGGCTCGATGTTGGGAGGATGTCTCAGGCGAAACCGCCATTCTCTGAGAATCGGGGTCACAATTATTGAACTTACAATGTGTTTTTGAAGGTTTTATGTTAAAATGTTGAAATTCCTATGTGTTTTTGGACCTCTCCTTCACGCTCTGCGTGAGGGGTGCCACCGATTTTCAGAATTTCGAGGATGTCCCGAGCGAAACGGCCAGAAACATCAAAGACGGACGCACGCACGGACGCATTAATCCCCTCTGAGCTCTACTCCCTCGGAGAGGTGCGTATGAGAATATGTATATGTATATGTATATGTATATGTATATGTATATGTATATGTATATGTATATGTATATGTATATGTATATGTATATGTATATGTAAATGTAAATGTATATGTATATGTATATGTTTATGTATATGTATATGTATATGTATATGTATATGTATATATATATATATGTTTATATATATATGTATATACATACTGGGGGAGCAGGCCTGGGGCCCGAAAACAGCTGCCCCGACCCTCCATGGGGGTACCAGGGCTGATGTTCCTTATGTTTTTACAGGGTTTCCGCGTCCTGGGCCTTGGAGGCCGCCGCCTCCGACCCCCCATGGGAGGACGGGGCGGCCGGGGAGGTCCAAAATAATCCAGGAGGGCCTCCAGAGGCTCCCAAGGCGGCCCAGGCGGGCCCCGAGTCGTCGAAAGACCGCTCCAGGACGCCCAAGATAGGCCCAAGACGGCCCGAGAGGCACCCCAAGGCACTCCACGACGCTTCAAGACGCCTCTCCAAAGCGCTTCAAGAGGCCGAAATCGTCAATGTTACTAAGGTCTTCTAACAATTTTGGCCTTCCAGCCTTTTCGGCTGTCCGACGTTCCCAGATGGCTCAATAGGCCCCCAAGAGCGCCCCAAGACGGCCCAAGAAGGCCCCAAGACGGCCCCAGAGTCGCCCAAGACAGCCCAACAGAGCCCCGAGACGGCCCCAAGATGCGCCCAAGGGGGGACCACGACCCCAAAATTCGACCCTCCCGCTTGAGGGGTGCCCCAGGAGGCCCCAAGGAGCCCCCAAGAGGCCCCAGGAGGCCCCCAAGAGGCACCCAGGAGGCCCAAACGAGGCCTACAGAGGCCACAAACCAGCCCCGAGGAGGCCCCACAACGGTCCCAAAACGGCTACCCAGAAGCTGCGAAACTGCCTTCACGACGTCCCCGACAGGCCAACCACGAGATCCAAACCAACACCCATGAGGCCTCTGACCACCACCCAGGGCACGGTGGCGGGAGCAGTGACAGCACTTGTGCACAGCATGTTCTGGCGGGAGCCTTCTGGAACACGCTGCAGGGGGAGGAGGAGGAAGATCAGGAGTAGAGAGAGAGCTGGAGTGGGAGGAGGAGGAGGGGGACGAGGAGGAGGAAGAGGCCTCCAAGACAGCTCCAAGATAGCCGAAGCGGCTTCCAAGAGGGCCCTGGGCTGCCCACGATGGCCCCAAGGCGATGCCTGAGGCGCCCAAGACGGCCCGAGAGAGCCCCAAGACGGCCCCAAGAGAGGCCCAAAAACGGAAACACGAACCGAGAATCCGAGCTTTCTACCCCGAGAGGTTCTCGGGAAGTCCCAAGAGGCCCCTACTCGGATCCAAGAGGCCCCCAAGAAGCTCCCAAGAGGGCCGACGTGGTTCCAAGAGATCTCCCAGGGTGGCCCCAAGAGGCACAACTCATTGTTTTACGATTGGGCTTTGACGTTTTTTTTTTCTGCCTTTTGGCATCCCGATGCTCCAAGACGGCCCAAGAGGCTTCCAATACCGCTCCACTATAGAGGAAGAGGCCTCCAAGAGGGCCCCAAGACGGCCCGCGAGGGCCCCAAGACGGTGCTTGAGGCGCCCAAGACGGCCCGAGAGGGCCTCAAGAGCCCCAAGAGAGGCCCAAGAAGGGGAACGCGACCCAACAGCAGAGCGGCCCACAGGAGGCCGCAAGAGGCCCCCAAGTGGTCCGACGAGGACCACAAGAGCTTCCCGAGGGCCCAAAAGGCCCCTAGGAGACGTCCAAGAGGTGTTAAAATAGCCCAAGAGTGCCCTCCATGCGTCAAAACTGATTCCAGGAGGCCCCCAGGAGGCTTCCGGATTGCCTCAATCTGGCCGCAGGTGGCCTCAAGAAGAGGCACCCAAGAGGTGCCTCCAATAGCCAGTTGACGAAGCATGCGGAACACCCCAGAAGCTCCTCAGATGCCGTCGCGCGCCTGTGCTTGATAGCGTTGTCCAAGATCGTCCAGCGCCCCCCCGGCCTGGGCTAGAACCTGAGCGCGCGCGATGGTTCTAGTATGTATGTATGTCTGTATGTATGTATGTATGTATGTATGTATGTATGCATGTATGTATGTATATATGTATGTATGTATGTATGTATGTAGGTAGGTAGGTAGGTAGGTAGGTAGGTAGGTATGTATGTATGTATGTGTATATATATATACATACACCTCTTGGCCGGGCCCCCCCAGCCCAGGGGCCTCAGCCCATCCTGGGGGGACGAGAGGGAGGGAGGGAGGGGAAGACGATTCATCGGTTCCCCCCTTGCGACAGCGCCCGACGCTGACGAGCTGCCCGCCCTCCGGCGCTCCTGGCGCGCCCGCGTCTCGCCAGGCGGGAGGTGGGCGCAGACCGCGTCCTGCAGGACCTCCGCAAGCGCCCCGCGGCCGTCTTGCTCTGCTCTCGGGCCCGCGCCTTCGGGGGCGCGCCTCGTCGGCGCGAGGCGCGTCTCCGAGTCGAGATTGCGGCGGCGTTCGTGGTTCGAGGTTTGAGACTCTCGGGCGTTTTCGCAGGTGCCCGGCGGTCTTCCCAAAGGGAACGCACAATGACATAAACACAATCACTCGGAGGTCCGCGCGGATTTCTCGGATCCGCGCTGGACCCCCCTGGCGGCGCCTCCGGCGCCCGCCCCTGGCGCGCGGAGCGCGCCAGGGACGGGGGTCGAGCGCCGATCCGAGAAATCCGTGCGGAACTGCGACTTGTTATGGTTATGTCATTGTTCGTTCCTCAATTTTCCAGCCTCGGGGTGCTCTCCAGCGGCTGCGCCTTGCCGACGGCGTTTTCAGGGGGCTGCCCAGGTCGTCCCGAGCGGCTGCCGCAGAACCGAGCCATGACCCGAGAACCCAGGGGCTACGTTATGGGGCGGTAGGGTCAGGGTTAAGTCGGACGTGTCCCTCTCCAGGAGGAGTCTTCAGAAATAGTAAAACAATAGCCTGGGGATGATTTTTGGACCATCTCTGGCTATTTTTGAGCATGTTTGGGTTTTTTTATTTTTTTTTCCGCCTGTCAGCCTGTAGGGGGACATGCCCGACCTAAGCCTAGGGGGCGGAGGGGGCGCGGGGCATCGACCACCCCCAGTCGCTCATTGATCGCCTATATGGGTCCGACCGACGGCCTCACCCCTCGCAGGAGTCTGCGAATTCGCCCTGGGGGGCCTGTCGCCGATCTTGTGGCGACGTATCTGCAGGGGCCCTGGGACACACAAACAAATACACACAGATAACAGGATTCCCCCTATGTTCCCATATTTTCTGGGTTGTTGTCTTCCCCCCCCAACCCCCTATGTTCCCATGCTTTCCCGGGAGTGGGCGATTCATTGTGTCTGTGTGTGTTTTTTCCCTCCTGAGTATCGCCGATGCCAGGTCGCTGGCCTCCCCCTGCTGAGCCGGTCCCCCCCGCACGTTCCCCCCCCCTTACTTCAGCTCGCCTGCACGTGCAGTCACGACTCAGGAGGGGAAACAAAAACACACAGACACAATGAATCGTGGATTCCCCGGAACATATGGGAAAGTATGGGAAATGGGGGGGAAGACAGAAACCCAGAAAATATGGGAAAATATGGGGAATCTTTTTATTTGTGTGTATTTATTTGTGTGTCCTGGGACCCCTTTAATTATGTCTGTTTTCTTTCCCCTCCTGAGTATCGCCGATTCTAGGTCGCTGGTCTCCCCCTGCTGAGCCAGTCCCCCCCGCACGTTCCCCCCCTACTCCAACTCGCCTGCACGTGCAGTCAGGACGCTGACACGAGGAACACGTTAGGCTTATGTCGGGCGTGTCCCCCTACACGGGGATGTTCGACGAAAAATAGAGAATACCAGAAAGATGCCCCAGAAAGGTCAAAAAATATGCAAACATAGTCCCCAGACTATTTTCGGACAATTGTTTGATTTTTTTTCTTCGTCGAAGATCCCCCTGTGGGGGGACAGGCCCGACTTAACTTTAGGCTCATGAGGAGCTCTGGTTTTTAGGGCCCTTCCCTGGATTAAAGTCGGGGAACCTATTCGTGGCCGAGGCTCGCCGTGGCCAGAACAGCCCCTCAGTTCCTTATGTGGCGTTCCTTCTGCTAGCGTGGTGACTGTAAGAGTGACCCTTCGCCGGAGTGGGCTTGTGTCGAGGGGGGAAAAAAAAGAAAGTGCCGCCCCAAAGGGCAGGGGCGTTTGCTGAGGCACCCTTGCCCTGTTCGATTCTTTCTTTGGGTGCGCTTTCTGAAGGGCTTCGCCTGTCAGGGTGCTTCTTGTGAGTGTGCTTCTCCTGCCCTCCGTTGTGATGTGGCCCCGCGGGGCCCCCGGTCGCTGAATGCGCTGCGCCAGCAGCCGCTTGCGCGCTCGGGCTTGACCCCCCTCGCGCCTCCCTACGGTCGCCCGCCATCTGTCACTCTTGCCTGGGCTCACTCTTGCGCGCAGCCAGTCCGCATCGACGGTGCCGCGCTCCGGACTCCTCGGCCGCGACCCCCATGGAGGCATGGCGGTTTTGTGCGGGTGCCCCGCGCGGGACGCATCCGCGGTATCCCTGGGATCGTGCCCCGGTATCCAGGCCGCGAGCGTATTGGCATGGTGTGCTCGTCGTCCGCACACCTGCCGACCTGGAGACCCGCGCGCGCCACTGGCAAAGGTGCAAGCAGGCGGGGCCCTGGCAGGACGTCCGATCCCAGGGCTCTGTCATTCCGGATCCTGGATCTCGGATAGCATGCGGTCGGGTCGCACATCGAGCGGCGTGCCGAAGCGTTCGGTCAGGACAGGACGCGCCCCCCGAGAGCCTGGGGGGGGCGACCACTCTGGTCGGACATACGGGGGGGGCGCTGATTCAGGGACGTGCCCGGGAGGCTTCCGACCATGGGGGCTGTCTTTACCCGACGATGGTGGCGGTGATATCCGTGGCCGATCCACGATGAAGTTCCACCGGCTTCCAGACCCTGGATTCCTTGCCCCATGGTTCCTTATCTAATGGCTCCTTATCCGATGGTTCCTTCTCCAATGCTTCCTTGTCCAATGGTCCCCTGCCCAACGGTTCCTCATCCATTGTCCTCGCCCAGTGATTCTTTACCCACTGGTTACTTATCCAATGCCCTCGCCATGAGCTTTTCGGTCTGCCCAGTCCTTCCACACTCCATCCTCCTCCTGCCTCGGGTCTCGGTGCCCCCGCTGCGTCGAGGGCCCTCGAAGGCCCCCTCTGCAAGAAGCAGGTCGGGAAGCTGGCCCGAAGCCGCTCCTGGACTGCACCCGTCCAGGCGAGCCCTTGTGGGCTGTCTCGCTCGGTGCTTGCCGTTCATGGAATGTCCTGGCGGCCCCTGCACGGTGCAAGACCGATGGGTGTGCGGGTGGCGTCGGCGTTTCGGACCGATGCGCCACCCGCCTCTGCCCTCTTCTCCATGATCCAGCCCGATGGTGTTCCTCATCCCGCGGACGTTCTCCAGTCGGCGCCCACACCTTCCCCTGTGCCCCCGCGAGTGCCCCGCCGCACCCCTTTGCGCGGGGTAATGATCCACAGGCCCGCCCTTCTCGAGGGCGATCCGAGGCCATCGCGCCTAGCTCCGAATTGGGGAGGTTTGCGATATCGATCAAGTCTTCGTCCCCGCGGCAGGGAGAAGGATGGGGGGGAGGGGATGAACCAGGACCAGGAGAAGGAGGAGGAGGAGGAGGAGGAGGAGGAGGAGCTGGAGAGCGAAGCTGAGAGGTGCCTCTCTCTCCAAGACATTGGCCGAGGAAAGAAATACCCAAGTTTCTGGAAAGCTCCCGCTTTTGTCGAGAACCTCAGGAATGCCACGAAGGGCTTTCCGTTCTCCTCCCCTGCCCACAAGAGAGCAGGTGTGAAAGCTTTGGCTGCTGCTGAGAGTGTCTTGGCAGAGCGTAGACGCATGGACAACCCGTCGAAAAGAATGAAAATCCAGGGAGCGATTTTGCGGGCCTTTGGGGCCGAGTTTTTGCCCGACTCGTTGGTCGGCGACTGGAGTGTAAGGTGGTGCCGATATTTTCCAGCAAAGAGACAATTAATTCGAGGAATTAATTGGAGCGAAGTACAGAATGTCGCCAAGAGATTTCCTCCCGCCTTCAGGCACGCCATTTGGCGCACCCTGAGCGGGGCCTGGATCACAAGTTTCAGGATGCATGACAGAGAAGCCAAGCAATGCATATTCCAATGTCGGGGCCAGCCTGACAGTTTTGTTCACTACTGGTGCTGCCCACGGATGTGGGCTATGGTCCGTGCTGCTCTGCATGATGCTGCTATCCCAGAGTGTCCCATCCACCGTCTCGGCGTTTGCTCTCCCTCTGAATCATCCATTCTCCGTATGTGTGCCTCTTATTTTGTCTTTATCCGTGTGGCAGGCCTGCCCCAACCAAATTCAGGAGATCTGGAAGCCCAGGTCCTCCCCGCTGTGCAGGCCCAGATTGCCAGAGGTAGAGTAAGGAGCTGAGGACTGATGCGCTCTCTTGGCGACGTGCGAGGAGGAGCAGGAGGAAGAAGGATGAGGAAGGAGGAAGGAGGAAGGAGGAAGGAGGACGGAGACATGGGGAAGGGAGGAAGGAGGAAGGAGGAAGGAGGGAGGAAGAAGGAAAGAGGAAGGAGGAAGGAGGAAGGAGGAAGGAAGGAGGAGGAAGGAGGCAGGAGGACGGAGGAAGGAGGGAGGAGGAAGGAGGAATGAGGAAGGAGGAAGGAGGAATGAGGAAGGAGGTCTCGTTTTCCTGGCGCGACGGCTGCAATCCAGGCCTCCAAGATGGGGTCGGAGGTGGAGGGTTTCTCCGAAGGGCTTAGGCGATCCGTCCTCCTCCTCTTCCTCCTCCTCCTCCTCCTCCTCCTTCTCCTTCTCCTGCTCCTTCTCCTCCTCCTCCTCCTCCTCCTCCTCCTCCTCCTCCCCCTCCTCCTCCTCCTCCTCCCTCCTCCTCCTCCCTCCTTCTCCTCCTCCTGCTCCTCCTTCCCCCTCCGCCTCCTCCTCCTCCTGTCCCCTCCTCCTCCTCCTCCCTCCTCCTCCTCCTCTCCCCCTCCTCCTCCTCCTCCTCCATCCTCCTCCTCCTCCTCCTACTCCTCCCTCTCCTCCTTCCTCCTCCTCCGCCTCCTCCGCCTCCTCCTCCTCCTCCCTCCTCCTCCTCCTCCTCCTCCTCCTCCTCCCCCTCCTCCTCCTCCTCCTCCTCCCCCTCCTCCACCTCCCCCTACTCCACCTCTTTCTCTTCCTCCTCCTTCTCCTCCTCCTCTTCTTCCTCCTCCTCGGGTCGCCTACGGCCCGGGGGACAAACATGCAGCCAGAGGATCGGGACACATCGCCGATGCATCCGCGATGCGGCTCGATGTGGAGCCCGCGTATTCTCCACGCCTGCGTCGCCGAGGCACCGCCGACGTCGCCGATGCATCGCCGACGCATCTCCGATGCACTGGCGATACATCGGCGATGCGGCCCGACTCCATCTACGGTATGTTGGCGTTATGTCGACCAGCGGCGAGCCCGCCGCCGACGTTCAACGTTGGACGCCGCCGGCGGCCCAGAACCGGTTGATGTTGAATGATCTGACGTTTCGGAAACGGCCGATCGTTCAGGGTAGAACGATCCCCGCGGTGTCAGCAACCAACGCCAGAGTCGACACAACTCGGGCGAAGGGAAGTATGCACATGCACCAATCCTGGCCAGGCCCATCCTGGGCCCGGGTTCGGCGCGTATCCCTTCCCGGCCAAGGCAGGAGGGCGTATGCATTGATCCTGGGCTCAGGATGGGCCTGGTCAGAATCGGTGCATGTGCATACTCCTCTTTCCTCGTCCCTCTACAGGAGGACAATTCAAACATATTCAACAAGTGCTCTGGGGGCGATTGTTCTTATATATGTTTTTTTTGTTTAGCATTTGCTTCGTTAGTCTGATTTATCTGGTTCTCTTCTGGAATCCGCCTGGAGGAGGACATGGCCCGACCTAATCCTGACGACACGAGCCTGACGTGCCCGGACCCCATCTGGGAGGCCTCGGCGTGACCCAAGCGTCCGGCGCTGCGCTCCCCGAAGCGGCCCAGGGCCCCCTCTTGAGTCGGCGGCCCACCCTCGTGACCCAGCCTCGTGGCCCCCCTATCGTGGATCGTGCACGGCAGGTTGGCGTCGTGTCGGCCGGAGGCGTCGTCGTCGTCTTCCTCCCCCTCCTCTTCCTCCTCCTCCTCCTCCTCGCATCCTCCTCCTCCTCCTCCTCCTCCTCCTCCTCCTCCTCCTCCTCCTCCTCCCCCTCCTTCTCCTCCTCCTCCTCCTCCTCCTCCTCCTCCCCCTCCTTCTCCTCCTCCTCCCCTCCTCCTCCTCCTCCGCCTTCTCTCCCTCCTCCTCCCCCTCCTCCTCCTCTTTCTCCTCCTCCTCCTCCTCCTCCTCCTCCTCCCCCATACTTCTTCCCACGTTGTGACGATCGCTGCGTTGGGCGGCGCTCCGTCGCCACACCCGCAGCACCCTAGCTGGCGCCAACGCGCGCGGGGGTGTCCTTGTCCTTCGTCCTTGTCCTCGACCAGCGGCGACCCCGCCGCTGGCGTTCAACGTCGAACGCCGCTGGCGACCCAGAATCGTTCGACATTGAACGATCTGACGTTTCCGAAACGGCCGATCGTTCAAGGTAGAACGATCCCCGCGGTGTCAGAAACCAACGCCGGTGTCGGCACGACACGAACCTGCCGCAAAGCTTTTGGGGTGTTCTGCTGCAGGTTTTTTTGTGTTTCCTTCAATCCGCGCACCACCAGGAGTAGCTTTTCGCCCCAGATCACTGTTGCCCACGAAGGGCCCCCAGAGGCCGAAATCGAGGGGATCACGCCAGGATTGAGGAGCTCAATCCGCCTGACGTCCACGGAGCTCGTCACGCTCCTAACTCGTCAGGGTCTGCAAAAAAGCGCACGCGGACGATCCTCGCCTGTCGCGCAGGGCGCGCGTCGCTGCGGAGCCCGCCGCGAGCCCGAGGAGAACCCGGACGGGCCCGACGAGGCCCTCCGAGTGCTCCAGATGGACCTGATCGGCTTCTATCCCTACAGCTTCTGCAGGAGCAACCGCTCGATCTCCTGGATGCGGGTGCGAGGGCGGCGGGGAGAGGCCATTCCACATCCTGTAACACAAGAAATGGAGCTACGACCACCCCAGACGAGCAGTCTTACGCAGGCCCAGCTAAGTACGAAAGAGCGGCCTTTTGCCCAGACCCCCCAGAACCCTCCAAGACAGATCAAACCAGACCTCCCCAATCAGACCCCCTCCTTTGGATTCTGAAATTCTGACTGCACTGTATTTTCGGAGGTCTTGTCTGTCCTGTAAGTGGCTGCCAATTCTCTCTCTGACTCTGCGCGTGATCGAGGCGCATGCGCTCTGTATTTCACGTGAATTCGACGCGGTTTCGATGATATAATTCGGTGCGCGTTCGAAGCGAATAGCGACGCGATGCTACAGACGTGATCTTCCGAATTTGCAAAATGATGATTTCATGGCCTTCGGCACGTCCCGCCGCCGCACCCGGGTTGCAGGCCAGAGCTCTCAGGGATGCTTCTTGGGGTCTCTTCGGAGCGCTCTCGGGGGCCTCTTGGGGACAGTTTCAGGGTCTCTTGGGAGCCTCTGAGAGGCCTCTTGGATCGCGCGCGCGCGCGCCCGTCGTCCACTTGCCGTCGTGGCTTGCGGTTGCCCTCTGTTGCCCTGGCCCTACACACGCTGCTGGGTCCAGCGAAGGGGCCGCCTTTCGGCCCCACGCACCGTCCCCACCATGCACTGCACCAAGACTTTCAAGCGACGCGCAGCGAGTTTCAAGTCTTGCATATCTATGTTCCCCAATCAGAGCTTGCCTCTGTAGGGGCCCTAGCAGATTTATATGGTTGTGTGAGGTTTGCTGTGTGAGGTTTGCCACCGATTTTCGCGGTCCGCCCGGGTGCCCGGGTGCTTGGGTGCCCTGGTGCCCCGGTGCCCAGGTGCCCAGGTGCCCGGGTGCCCGGGTGTTTTATAGCCCAATAGCCCCATAGCCCTATAGCCCCATAGCCCTATAGCCCTATAGCCCTATAGCCCTATAGCCCTATAGCCCCATAGCCCCATAGCCCCATAGCCCCATAGCCCTATAGCCCTATGGCCCAATAGCCCTAGAGCCCTAAAGCCCTACAGGCCAATAGCCCTATAGCCCTATAGCTCTATAGCCCTACAGCCTTGTAGCCTTACAGCCCTATAGCCCTACAGCCCTGTAGCCCTATAGACCTATAGCCCTATAGCCCTATAGCTCTATAACCCTATAGCCCGATTGCCCTACAGCCCTACAGCCCTATAGACCTATAGCCCTATAGCCCTATATCCCTATAGCCTTATAGCCCTATAGCCCTATAGCCCTATAGCTCTATGGCCCTATAGCCCTATAGCCCTGTAGCTGTATATGCCTACAGCCCTATATCCCTGTAGCCCAATTGCCCTATAGGCCTATAGCCCTATGGTCCTATAGCCATATCGCCCCATAGCCCTGTAGACCTATAGCTCCATGGCCCTATAGCCTTGTAGCCCCATAGCCCCAGAGCTCCATAGCCCTATATCCGTATAGCCCTGCAGACCTGTAGCTCTATGGCACTCTAGCCCTATAGCCCTATAGCCCTATATCCCTATAGCCTTATAGACATCGCCCGATGGCACTATAGCCCCATGGAAGTATAGCCCTAAAATGATTATGATTCGGACTTTTTTCTCCGGTATCATATTCCCCAATCAGAGCTTGCCTCCGTAGGGGTCCTAGCGGATTCATATGGCTAGGTTGGGTTTGTCACCGATGTCCGCGGCCCGCCCGGGTGCCTTATAGCCTTATAGCCCTATAGCTTTATAGCCCTATAGCCCCATAGCCCCATAGCCCTATAGCCCTATAGCACAATAGCCCAACAGCCCTATGGCCCTATAGCCTCATAGCCCCATCGCCCTGTAGCCCTATAGCCTCATAACCTTATAGCCCAATAGCCCTATCGCCCTAGAGCCCTACAACTCTATAGCCCTATAGCCCTACAGCCCAATCACCCTATCGTCTCATAGCCTCATAGCCCTACAGCCCTGTAGCCCAATAGCCCAGTAGCCCTATACCCCTTTATCCCTACATATGTATAGCCCGATATCCCTATAGCTTTCAAGCCTTATAGCCCTATAGCCGTATAGCCCTATAGCCCCATATGCCTATCGCCCAGTCCTCCTATCGCCCAAGTATAGCCCCATAGCCCTATGGTCCTATGGTCCTATTGCCCTACAGCCCCATAGCCCTATAGACTCATAGCCTTATGGTGCTATAGCCCTATAGCCCATAGCCCCAGAGCCCAATAGCCCCATAGCTCTATAGCCCTACAACCCTATAGCGGTGTGGCCCTGTAGCCCTACAGATAGACCTATAGCCCTATGGCCCTATATCCACATAGTTCCATAGCCCTATAGCCCCATCGCCCTATAGCCTAATAGCCGCATAGCCCTATAGCCCTAACAAGACTTTGATTGCGGCTTTCTCTCCAGAGTCATATATTCTCATATTGGAGGTGGGAGAGGTGAGATCGCAGTGAACGCAGGCGATTTCGGTTTCGCGTCGTGCGTGGAGGCGAGGCGGAGCTGCGTGGGGGGGCGCGAGGAAGGAACCCTCCCCTTGGGCGCCGCCGGGCCAGAAGACCGCCGCCCCCCCCCCCGGGTTGGCGGGCGGCGGCTGGGGGTGTCCCGCCGTGATGTCTCAGCGGTGTCCCATGGTTTCCCGTGGTGTCCCGCGGTGTCCCGTCGGTGTCCTGTCGGTGTCCCATGGTGAGATCGATAGTGAGATCGATCGTGAGATCGGTAGTCATACTGGCAGTGCGATCGATAATGACGTCGATAGCGGGACCGATAACGACATCGATCGTGGGAACGGCAGTTTGATCGAGCGTATGATCGATAGTGAGATCGCTAGTGAGATCGATAGTGAGATCGATAGTGACATCGATCTTGGGAGGCATAGTGACATTGATCGTGAGATCGGTAGTGGGATCGACTGTGGAGTCGATACTCAGATCGATCGTGATATCGATTGAGCGATATCGCTAGTGATATCGATCGTGACATCGATCCTGGGAGGGATAGTGAAATCGATCGTGATATCGGTAGTGGGATCGACTGTGGAGTCGATACTCAGATCGATCGTGATATCGATCGAGCGATATCGCTAGTGATATCGATAGTGGTATTGACAGTGAGACCGATCGTGAGATCGATCGTGCGATCGATAGTGCGATCAAAAGTGATATCGACAGTGGGATATATAGTGAGATCAAATGTGAGATCGATCGTGATATTGATAGTGGGAACAATCGTGCGATCGATGTTGGGATCGACTGAGTGAGACGTTGTTTCCGCCCCCTTCCGGACCGCCTCGTCACCCCAAAGGTGGTCCTATAGATATGTTTTATTAGTCTCTCTATATAAATAGGTGTATCATTGTATATTCCTATCTATCGATACACATGTATATATCATATATATATATATCGATGTATGTATATATATATATATCGATCGCTATTTCTATATATATATAGATTCACCGATCTATGTATATATATATATATGTCGATCGATCTATGTATCTACCTCTCTCTATGTATATCTAGCTATCTATATAACTAGCTATCTATTTATATATACACACATATATATAGCTAGATAGATATACATACATATATATATACCTACCTACCTACCTATCTATCTATCTATCTACCTATGCCTATCTATCTATATGTCTGTCTGTCTGTCTGTCTGTCTGTCTGTCTGTCTGTCTGTCAGTCTATATATCTGTCTATCTATCTATCTATCTATCTATCTATCTATACAGATATCGCGAGGATGCCTTGGGGGGGTGGCGATGGGCCGCCCAGCCCATCCTGGCCGCAGCTCGGCGAGGCCCTGGTCGCCTGGCGTGGCCGCTCGGCGAGACTCGGCCGGCCTGCGGCTCGGCTCCGGGGCCTCTGGCGGCCTCGGGGCGCTTCCTCTGCGAGCCGGCGGGCTGGCGCGCTTCTATCGGGGGTGGATTAACCTCCTGCCCTGACACGTCGATTAGTGAATTGGCCGTTTTCGGTTCGCGAGAGGGCGTCGCGGCTGTCATTTTTGCGGGTCCAGGTCCGCCGGTTTCTGTCCTAGGCCGTTTTCGCTAAGGGGAGTTTTACTAAAGGGAGGTTTGTCCACCGCCGACTATAGCCTACCAAACAATGTTCTAAGAGCCGCTTGTGGTTTCCACGCAATGTTCTTGGAACACTTCTGGCTGGAGCTGTCTTGTTTTGGCACATCTGGTTGATGTTCTAAGCACATGGTTTTTGTTCTTAGAACATGTTTGGGTTCTAAGAACACTTCGTGGCAGGACTATGGAATGCCGGGACGGTCGGTCCCTGCTCAACCCGCGGGGGCCTCGCTCCCCCCCCCCCCCGTCCTCGAAGTGGGGCGGACGGCCACGGAAGGGCAGCGGGCGCGGGGGGATCGAGAGGGCTGTGGTGGGAGTCGGGCCGACGCGGGGGGATGCACGGCTCCTTCGGGGCCCCACGGGGAGGAGGAGGAGGAGGAGGAGGAGGAGGATGAGGAGGAGGAGGAGGAGGAGGAGGAGGAGGAGGAGGAGGAGGAGCCCCGCGGCCGAGCACCCGACGCCGGCTCGGCTCCGCGCCCCGAGCTCTGCTCTGCCCCGGCGGCCTCTGGGCGGCGTCGCCCCAGCGTATTATGATACTATGTTGCGGGACGGGGAAATGACCACAGCCTTCTGCTTCTTGTTTGCGCCGCCTTCCAGCCAGCCGAAAAAGAAGCAGTGGTTGTGGTCATTTCCCTGGTGCCAAGCCGAACGATCGTGACCACAACCACTGCTCTGTTTCTGCTGGCCGGAAGGCGGCAACAAAAGAAAAGCAGTGGCTGTGGTCGTTTTCACGTCCCGTATATGTGGGGCGTTTCCAAAGAGGGCCTTGCCTTCGAGGATCGGAGGAGTTGTCAGCCCTTCCGCGGCGGGAGGGCCGCGGAAGGGCGGCAGAAGGTCGGCGGAGGTAGAGCGGGGCCGCCTCCGCCGGCGGAAGGCAGCGGAAACTCGGCGGGAGGCGGCGGAGGCGAAACGTGCGCCCCCGAGAGAGGAAAACGTTTTTGGGTTCAGGGTTTCCGAAATCCACGATGTGAGCGTCGCCCCCCCGCCCCCCCCCAGGGGCGACGCGCGCACCGAGGAATCTTATAGTATATGCGTCGTTGCGGGCGCTTTCTGGCCACACCGCTTGGGAAACGATCTGCCCCAAGCTGGGTGTACTATGCGTTCGGGTCGGACGCGCGCGCCTCCAAGGAGGACATGTAGTATTAGTATGTCTCTGTAGGAGGCCTCGAGGGGTCTCTCCAGAGGCCGAGGATGCAAGAAGACAGCGGGCTCCATGATTAGGCGTCTGGAGGCCACTGGGGGCCCGGGGCCGCTCGCAGACATCCGACCGTGCGGCCTTTCCAAGAGACTGTTGTCTTGTTCTGTTCCCCTGGCGACAACGGGCGTGACCAGGGGGGGGGAGTCGGTCACGTCGCGATTCGTGCCGGCGCCGTCCAGGAATACCCAAGAGCGGCTCGTTCCCACACGGCGCCAGCGCGAAGCATGACGTGACCAGGGGGGGGGGGGGACGGGGGGGGGGGGTCGGGAGTTGGTCACGGGCGTTATCGCGAATCTGGGGCTGCTCTCAGGTTTCGGACGATGCGATCTTCCCAACGCGCGCCCCAGAACCCTCGACTCCTTCCCCGGGCAGGCAGGCTTTCTTCGCAGATCCGTTCTCGATGGCCACAGGGCTCGCAAACGGCCCACGAGGGCCGCTATCGAGGAGAGGCCGCCAGTGTATACACACACACACACACACTACATTTTTATACATATATACATGTATCGGAATCTAGCTGTATTGATATACATTACATATTTCATATGCGTCTCTATTTACATAACAATACACACATTTTGTGTATATATATATATATACACACCTGGCATCCCGTCGGGGATCTGGGCCTGGCGGGCCCGTCGGCGGGGTTGGTCGCTCTGCAGGCCGAGCCTCGCCCGGCTCGGGCGAGGCTCGGGCGAGAGGGCGGCCGCATCCGGCCCGATGGCGGCAGGGCCGGGCGTCTGGTCGGGCGCGTGGGGGCGGCCCCCGTCCGTGGCCGAGGCTGCGGGCAGCACTCACCTCCAACATCCTCCTCCTCCTCCTCGTCTTCCTCCTCCTCCTCGTCTTCCTCCTCCTCCTCCTCTTCCTCCTCCTCCTCCTCCTCCTCCTCCTTCTCCTCCTCCTCCTCCTCCTCCTCCCCCTCCTCCTCCCCCTCCCCCTTGTCCTCCTCCTCCCCCTTGTCCTCCTCCTCCTCCTCCTCCTCCTCCTCCTCCGTCCCAATCCGTGCTTGCACTGAAGGGGTCCTGGCGGATGTGGGAAGATCTGGCGCGTCACCGCCCACCAAAACCACCACAACCCAACCCGAAGGCCTCGATTTGCCCTCCATTTCCAGTGCGGGGGGGGCTCGTGGAACATTGAAAAAGCACATATGGAACCCGTACCCCCCCCCAACCCGAAATTCGTGTCTTCGGGTTGGGTTGGGGTGGTCTGGTAGGTACTCAGCGCGAGAGTGTCCCGCCGATTTTGGTGGCAGGCTGGGTTCCTGGGTTTCTGGTTCTGGGTTCCCGGGTTCCTGGTCATTGGTTGCGGGCCGATTCCGGTGGGTTCGGGGTTCCCGGGTTCCCGGTGGATCTTCTCACCGATCTCTTTATCGATCCCACGATTCATTATCGATCTCATGATCGATCTTACAAAAGCATCAGTGGTTGGGGATTTTCTTTGGTGTAATGTGTATCCATATCCAGTGCGTTTTGGACTTCCCTTGGAAGGGGCATCGTAAGGCGGAGGCGCACCGGATATGGACACACATCGAGCCTCTACAGAGGGGCCGCCTCGGGGTTCTGGTGAAGGGAGCCCGAAGCTCCAAGCTGCAGTGGATATGGATGCAAGTCTTGCCCGCAAAGGTCCCTGGTCGGTGTCCCCAAACCTCAGACGACCTGATGCGGGTGTTGCCGGGGGAGGCCCTGGACCAGGGTGCTGCCGGCGTTTCGCGCCGTGCCGGGTCGGGTGCTCTTGCAAGGGGGCGCCAGCGGGGACGGAAAGAGCGGGGGCGAAGGCCGCCCGTTCGTGACGACAAGCGCTTGCCCACCAGGCCTCCTGGCGTCGCGAACGAGCACCGCGGCGAGAGTCAGAGGAGGAAAAGGTACCCATACCTTTACCCTCTGGCCGTTTTTCCCTCTTTGGGCCTCCTCGGAGGATCTCGTCGCCACCGCTGGATTCGCCTCGAAATTGTCGTCAGAACGCACCCATGGCGGGGTCCGGGGAGTAGCGGTATCGGTACCTTTTGGTTTCTCCAGAGAGGATCTCCCGTTGTGCTGTTTGCGGGTGGCCGTCACTGGGCGGGGCCAGGACCGGGATACATTGTTCGAGAGCGTTGCGGAGTGCTTTGGAACGACCGCGGCGCCCTTACTGCATCATCCAGATCCGCCGGATCTCACAGATCCCCGACGCGTCCCTGTCCGATGTTGTCCCCCGTCCTGGCTTCGTCTTGCGCCATCGGGCTCCGGGGCCGCATCATCAAGGCATCTGCGACGAAAGAACGGGAGCTCCGCCGCGTCGTGACACGAGCACGACGTCACAGGTCCACGGCCGCCGCATCTTCCCCCCTCTCCTCAAGGGCACCGTGGATGTTGGGCAGGCGCAGGGTCGGGATGCGTCGACGCCCAGCCGCCCACTGATCGCCGATCGGGGCCCGATAGCTCCAGCCTGCCCCAGGAACGCTAGGATTTTTTTTTTGGGGGTCCACCGCCGATTTGTCGGCGATGTATCGCCGATTCAGGCTCGATGTCGCTGCTGCTCCCCTGACGGTACCGCTCGCCTCCAGTGACGATGGGGGCCGCGCCGTCCCAGGCCCCTGGCGGACCGATGTGTTCAACCGTGGCGTTCTGCCCCGACAGTTCGGCCCCCCGGCGCGAATCAAATGTTGGGCGTCGGGATGAGATTTCAGCCACGCGCAGAGGGGTTAGGGGCGAGGGGGAAGGCTTCTTGGAAGCACCCCTGCTTCTCAGAGGGTGCGGGGCCTCTCTGTAGGTGTAGGGCCGGCGCCTTCCATGAAGCAGCCTCCTTCTGAGAAGCCGTCCCCCTCCCCCTGCCCCCCTCTGCACGTCGCCAAATGACGTGGTCCCCCCCTCAGAAGGGGCTGACACCCCCTGGGCCAGCGGGTCTTTGGACTGAGGTAGGCGTATAATACGTCGTGCGAATGATGCATCTGCGGGTGATCGTGCTGTTACTGAATTGCCAAGCAGAGTAACACGCAACTTGGTGTCCTTATTCTCTCTGATGAGAGTAAACGCTTCATGCTAACTAGTAAGAACAAGACAACACCCACCCGAGGTTTTCGGGCGGTGGCCCAGAAAGCGTCCCAAGTGCCCTCGAGCAGGACGGTCAACCGAGCCCTGAGGTGGCGGGACGTCGCCGTCCCTGCTGGCGTGGCTGGCGTCGCCGCCGTCGTCGCCGCCGTCGTCGCCGCCGTCGTCGCCGCCGTCGTCGCCGTCGCCGCCTCCGTCGCTTCGCTGCTGCCGCCGACCCTTCGGCGTGTGGAAGACGTCGTCGTTGTCGTCGTCGTCGTCGTCGTCGTCGTCGTCGTCGTCGTCCTCGTCCTATTCCTCGTCCTCGTCCTCGTCGTCCTCGTCTTCGTCTTCGTCCTCGTCCTCGTTCTCGTCCTCGTCGCCGCCGCAGCCGCCGTCGCTGCGCCGCCGCCGCCGTTGCCGCCGTGGCCGCCGTGGCTGCCGCCGCTGCGCTTTGCGCCCCCGGCACCGGGAGGTGGGGCACAGCCCGTGGTGGCGATCGTGCTTCGAGAGGACCTGGAGGGCGCCAACTACACCCATTCCGATCCTCCGCCCTCCTCCTCCTCCTCCTCCTCCTCCTCCTCCTCCTCCTGGGTGGCCTCCAGTCGGAGAGCGTCAGTTATGAATCTACAGCGATCCTGGCCAGGCCCATCCTGGGCCCAGGATCGGTGTGTGCGCCCACCTGGCTGGGTCAGGCAGGCGTGTGCACCAATCCTGGGGCCCCAGACGAGCCTGTCCGGGCTCGGTGCCGGTGCGCAGCTGACGCCCCCCCGCAGGACCGACCTGACCCTGCGCGCGCAGCTGTGGATGTCGGAGTACCACCAGCAGACCGTCCGCGGCCCTGGCGCGCGCGGGGGGCACCGCCGCTCGCGGCTCCGTCCGCGCGCGCGCTCGGCGGGCCGCGTGCGGTGCGCGCGCTCGGCCCGCGCGGGCGGCCGAGCGCTTGGCCGCCAGAGCGTTCGGCCGAGCGTTCGGCGAGCTGCGTGTGCCACCGCGGTATTCGGCCCGCGGTGTTCGGCCCGCGCGCCCGCAGGACGAACAGCCCGCCGCGGGCAGTCCGAGGGGTCGCGGCGCGCCGGCGCCGCGCCGAGGCTCGGAGGCGGCCCCTGCGCGGGCGCCGAAGCCTGATCCGAGATGCGGTCGTCTCCTCCCTCCTCTCCTCCTCCTCCTCCTCCTCCTCCTCCTCCTCCTCCTCCTCCTCCTCCGCCTCCTCCTCCTCCTCCCTTCTCTCCCAGTCTGCAATGCCAGTCCCAGTTCCAGCGCCCCCCCGAACGCCCGCGGTGAGTTCCATCCCTCTCCCCCTTCCTTCCCTCCCCCTCCCTCCCCCTCAAGCTCGGGCTCGAGCCTTTTCGGGATCCTTGACGTACGGCTCGCCCTTTCCCCGGGGCTGGTGACAATGTGCTGCTAGCCTGAGCGCTCCCACCATGTAAGCGGCAGTGAACGCTGGGGGATGCTGGTGAATGGCATCAAAGGGTCCCGAGCTGCGCCTATACTTTCCGGGGGCACCTCGTCAACGGCGACCTCGGGGCGCGCGTTGCGGACTTGGCAGCATCTTTTGGCTCACTCGACGTTTTTATTTTCGATGGCGGACCTGCAGCGCAGGGTTTGCCTCTCGCCGCCGTCGCCGCCGCCGCCCCCTGGTATCCCCGTCTGGGGCGTCATCCTCGGCTTTGAGCTTCTTCTTCCTTCTGCTGCTCCTCCTGCTCCTCCTGCTCCTCCTCCTCCTCCTCCTCCTCCTCCTCCTCCTCCTCCTGCCCCTCCTCCCGCCTCCAGCCTCCCGCCGCCGCCGCCGCCCCTGGTATCTGGCTCCCGCCAGCCTGCGATGGTGGAGCAGCCCCCCGCGGAGGTGGGGCAGGCCGAGGCGGCGCCGGTGGAGGCAGCTCCGGCACTTGGGAGCGCCTGCGCTCTGCCAGTGGAGGCGCAGGAAGCTCTGCAGGGTCAGTCCGAGGTGAAGCCGCAGGTGGAGGTTCACGTGGAGGTTCAGGACGAGGTTCATGTTCAGGTGGAGGTTCAGGTGGAGCTTCAGGTGGAGCAGACCGAAGCGGCGCCGATGGAGGCAGCTCCGACGTGGGGAGCGCCTGCGCTCTGCCAGTGGAGGCGCAGGAAGCTCTGCAGGTTCAGTCCGAGGTGAAGCCGCAGGTCGAGGATCACGTGGAGGTTCGGGACGAGGTTCAGTTTCAGGTGGAGGTTCAGGTGGAGCAGACCGAGGCGGCGCCTGTGGAGGCAGCCAGCGCTGGCGTGGGGAGCGCCTGCGCTCTGCCAGTGGAGGCGCAGGAAGCTCTGCAGGGTCAGTCCGAGGTGAAGCCGCAGGTGGAGGCTCACGTGGAGGTTCAGGACAAGGTTCAGGTTCAGGTGGAGGTTCAGGTGGAGCTTCAGGTGGATCAGACCGAGGCGGTGCCTGTGGAGGCAGCTCTGGCGTGGGGAGCGCCTGCGCTCTGCCAGTGGAGGCGCATGAAGCTCTGCAGGGTCAGTCCGAGGTGAAGCCGCAGGTCAAAGCTCACGTGGAGGTTCGGGACGAGGTCCAGGTTGAGGTGGAGGTTCACGTGGAGGTTCAGGTGGAGCAGACCGAGGCGGCGCCGGTGGAGGCAGCTCTGGCGTGGGGAGCGCCTGCGCTCTGCCAGTGGAGGCGCAGGAAGCTCTGCAGGGTCAGTCCGAGGTGAAGCCGCAGGTGGAGGCTCACGTGGAGGTTCAGGGCGAGGTTCTGGTTCAGGTGGAGGTTCAGGTGGAGCAGGCCGAGGCGGCGCCTGTGGAGGCAGCTCCGGCGCGGGGGGCGCCTGCACTCTGCCAGTGGAGGGGCAGGTAGGAAGCTCTGCAGGTTCAGTCCGAGGTGAAGTCGCTGGTGGAGGCTCACGTGGAGGTTCAGGACGAGGTGGAGGTTCAGGTGGAGGTTCAGTCGGGGGAGTGTAAGACCCGCGTTTGCCAGGACTCGGGTTCGCCATCGTTTTTTGACCACCGCGCCTCGGATTTTGACGAGGAGGAGTTTCGTGGGATGTCTGCAGCGGGAGGCCTCGTCAAAATGCAGGCTCGGCCTCGTCATTTTTTTGACGACCTCGTCGGGGATTTCCGAGTCCCCTGTGCCCGGGTCTTACGCCCCCCTGATTCAGGTGGTGCAGACCGATGCGGCGCTTGTGGAGGCAGCTCCGGCGTGGGGAGCGCCTGCGCTCTGCCAGTGGAGGCGCAGGAAGCTCTGCAGGGTCAGTCCGAGGTGAAGCCGCAGGTGGAGGTTCACGTGGAGGTTCAGGACGAGGTTCAGGTTTAGGTGGAGGTTCAGGTGGGGGTTCAGGTGGAGCAGACCGAGGCGGCGCCGATGGAGGCAGCGCTGGCGTGGGGGGCGCCTGCGCCCTGCCAGTGGAGGCGCAGGCAGGAAGCTCTGCAGGGTCAGTCCGAGGTGAAGCCGCAGGTGGAGGCTCACGTCGACGTTCAGGGCGAGGTTCTGGTTCAGGTGGAGGTTCAGGTGGAGCAGAGCGAGGCGGCGCCGGTGGAGGCAGCTCCTGCGTGGGGAGCGCCTGCGCTCTGCCAGTGGAGGCGCAGGAAGCTCTGCAGGGTCAGTCCGAGGTGAAGCCGCAGGTGGAGGCTCACGTGGAGTGTCAGGGCGAGGTTCAGTTTCAGGTGGAGGTTCAGGTGGAGGTTCAGGTGGAGCAGACCGAGGCGGCGCCGGTGGAGGCAGCTCTGGCGTGGGGGGCGCCTGCGCTCTGCCAGTGGAGGCGCAGGCAACGGCGACGGGAGTGCGGCGGCGAGGACGACGACGACGCCAGCGACGGCAAGGTTCAGTCGACGCAGGTGAAGCAGTTCCGGCGTTGGGAACACTTGCGCTGTGCAGTGGAGGCGCAGAATCCTTTGCAGGTTCACTCCGAGGTGAAGCCACAGCTGTGGAGGCTCAGGTGATCTCGCCTCATGTAGGTAGCCTCGCTGGAGCCTGGTATACCCGGACAGGGTCTGATCTGGCGATGGGTTGGTCGCCTCTTCGGCCGCTTGCTCCAGTGACGCCGCCCACGCCTCCACTTCCGACTCCGCGGGCAGGAACGACAGTTCTTTGGGCGCCAACTCGGAGGTGAAGACCTTCTACATTGGCGACGGGCCACCTCCGGCAGTTGATGGTGAAGATGCAGCCTTCGACGCGCGAGCCCTCAGTGGCGGTGTCGCCCGTGTCGGTTCTGGCGCGTCAAGCCGCAGTGGCGGTGACCAGGGGTCGAACCTGGGAGCTGGCACGTCAGCCAGCAGCAGCGGCGTCCGTCTTGACGCGTCCGCCCCACAGTGGCGGTGCCTCTTTCTAGTGGGAGGTTCGTTTTTCGTTTTCTTCTCTTCCTTCGGTGGCGGCTGGTGCCACGAACGGAGCCTCGGTGAAGAAGAACTAATCGGTTCAAGAATAATAGAAAAGAAGGTGAGTTCGCAAAACGAGCCCGCGTTGGAGCGGCGACTGGTAATCGACGCAGCACCCGGCACGAATCCTTCCTTTTTCGAGGCCACATATGAGGCCCTTGCCGCGGACATGTTGTTTGGTATTCCACAAGGTGCGAACGAGTTCGACGACTCGGATGTTGCATCGCTAGGCGGGCTCGCTGATAGCGGATATGTGTTCTCGGAGTTGCAGAAACGGCCGTCGCTGAGGGCGCCTTCTTTGGAGGATCGGAGCTGGCCTTTCGGCTGATGGCAGCTGGTGTCAATTCGAACGTGGCTTCGCCGTCAGTTGTGCGGGGCCTGGCGACACAGAAGAAATAATGCATATTCTGCTTTTTTGTTAGTTGATGGCTGGACTCAGTGTCCCTGGACTATGTTGCAACACTGTCTTGCATCCCAATTTCCCCGGAAGCTTGTCATTGCAGCGGCCTGCAGCAAAACAAGCTTCCCTTCCTCCTTCCTTCCCTCCTTTTTTTGTGTTTTCTCTCTCTCTCTCTCTCGCTCCCCTCCTCCCCCATTCCTTTTCCTCATGAGGAACCCCTCCGTGTCGCACCCCGCAGCCAGTCGTGAAGGCGGGCCCGGCGTTTCGCTTGAGACCCCCTTGCCGTTTATGAGCCTCCAGCTGCACAGTTGGCAACATTTTCACAGATGGAGGGCGGGTCGCTTCCAACATGTTGTTCTCGCTGTCACGCCGCGCGCGTTCGTTCCAAAAGATAGCAAAGGCTTCGCGGATGAATGGCGGGCCGTTTTCAACATGTGTCTCCCGCTATATCGCCGCGCGCATGCGTTAGACAACTTTGCAAAAGCTTCGCGGATTGAGTATTGGTGGTTTTCAAGACGTGGTTCTAGCCTCGGCGCCGCGCGCATTCGTTTCAAAGGTTTGCAGGGGTTTTACGGATTAAGGGCTGCGCGTTTCCAAAATGTGTCTCTCGCTTTTCGTTTCAAAATTTTCTAAAGCTTCGCGGATTGAGGGCGGCTCCTTTCCAACATGTGGCTCTCGCTTGAGCGCCGCCCACATTCGTTCAAACACAATTGCAAGCGTTCTATTGATTCTCAGTTGGGTAACGTACCAACAGCGTTTTTTTTGTTGGACCGATTCACGATTGTCAGGGTGCAACAGTTACGCTTGTTTGCGGTTTTGGCTCCCAGGAACGTTTTTCTGGCACGATTCAGGATCAGCAAGATGCAGCAGTCAGGGTGACTCGTGGCGTTGAAGTCGTGAGAATGTTTTTATTTCTTGGCACGCTTTAGGAGATTCAAACGGTTGGTTCCCGACGGGCAGTGACAATGAATCTTTGTAGGTGCCTATGGAGAGGGAGCTTGGAGGGACGGTATATCCCAACATCGTTGATGCATCATGGGCTTGCACTGGTCCTCCTCCGCCTCCTCCTTTTCATCCTTCTCCTCTTCCTCTTTTTCCTCCTCCCTGTCCCCCTCTCTCTTTCCGCTTTCTTTCCCCTCTTCCTTTCGAGGTCTTCCTCACGGTGAATCCCGCGGGTGGGACACGCTGGCGGCCCTTACCCCGCCGCCCGTGGCCGGGAACCGACCGATGTCGGACGATTTGCGCTCTCGGGGGGCCTGTAGGGGGGCTTACCAGGAGGGATCGCAGGCCGCTTCTGTTGAGGCTTCCCAGAAGGTAGGAGGGCTCCTCCACCCCGCCGTCGCCGATGCATCGGCGATGCATTGGGTATGCGGCGCGATCCTGCGACCTTATCAGCTTGGACCCCGTGCGGAAGGCCTCTGTAAGGCGGTCCCTGCCTGCTCGGACGGTCTCCCCCGCATGCGCGGCGCTAACCCACGCATGCTCAGAATCTGTTTCGCCTGGTGGGGCGGGTGCAGGTCGTGAGGCTTCGGCTGCATGGCGCAGTGCGGTGCCATCTTTCCAATCCCGCCAGTGGACATGAAGTTCCTCTTCTCTGCCAGCCTTCCCGCCGCCGAGGTACGATTCTGGACTCGTGGTGTCCACGCAGGCCAATTCAGAACAGACTCCTGGGCGATCTGCCTCCCGCAGGGAGGTGCAGACGCACGTCGTGGGGCAAGGGGAGGGGGGGCCGCAGCCAGCAAAGCCTGGGCCCCCGCCTCCTCCCAGCCACCTCCGCCCCTCCTCCCCCTGCAGCCCCTCGGTGGTGCGGAGACCGGCCTCGCCCTCGCTTCCCCCCCCCCCCCCTTCGCCTCGCGGCGCCCAGGGCGCGGAGGGCGGCCGCTGGGCCCCACGGGTGGCTTAAGAGGGCGCTGGAGGCGGGCGTCTGTGGGGGCGCCCCTCTCCTCCTCGGGGGAGTGTGTGTTTATACACCAATCTTTTCCCCGGCTGTGGAGAATTGATAGCATGGATTTTTTGTTCGGTGCCGCTTGTTCTTCCCATCTGCTCGCGTTGAGATGCGCTTCGTTTTCCCTGCGCTGCCCTCAGGCATCCCTCCTCCGCCCTGGGGCGTCAGAAGCGCACCGAGCACTCCCGCGCGCAGAGTGGCCTTAAGTCGGGCGCGTCCCTCTGCACGAGGAATGTGCAAACAGAGTCAAACAACAATGGGGGGACGATTTTTTCCATACACTTGTTGGACTGTTGCTGAGCATGTTTCGGCCATTTTTACTTCTTCGCCGAAGCCCGCCTGCAGGAGGACATGCCCGACCTAAGAGTGGCCGCCGGGCCCCGAGGTCGCTCAGCGGGCGATGGAGACGGGCGTGTGGAGGGAGCGGGCGGTTGTCCTGGTGGACCTCAGCGCCCTGAACTTCGAGTACTTCCAGGCGCGTCGCGTGCGCGCGCGCACGCCCGCCTGCCGCTCCTCGCAGCAGGGCGTCCCCGGCCGGCGGGGGCGCCCGCGCGCGCGCGTCCCCGCGCGGGTCTCGGCGCACCGCTCAAACGGAGCGTGCCCTGGAGGTGGTTCCAGCAGGAGTCCCACCCCGGCAGGGCTCCTTTTGATGCCTCCGATTCGATTCGATTCGCTTTCGATGATTTCCGATTCCGATTCGATTTGATGTCGGATTCCCGCTGTGGCTCCGATTTCTTAGTGGAGGCCCACTGGGCTGCCGATCTCCGCCGATTCGACTCTTCCCGGCTCGGTCGCCGATTTCCGCCGATCCGATGCCTTTCGATCGCCGGTCCGACGTGTCGATTCGAGTCTGGGCCCTCCTGCCCCGCGCGCCCAGGACTCCCAGGCGGGGTCCGTCGGCGGCGATCGAGGGGGGGGGGACCCGAGAAGGGAAAGGCCTTCTCAGAGGGCGGCGGAGCTTCTCAGGGGCCCTCGCTCCTGCTGAGAAGCTGTTTTGCGTCTGCGGGGAAGGCTTTAAGTCGGGCGTGTCCCTCTACGGGGGGAAGATAAGCAAATAGTGAAACAACAGTCTGGGGACGTTTTTTTGGTAGTATTTCCCAACCATCCTGTGGTGTTGGGTCCTCGTCTTGAAGAAACGGTCCCCGCGTCTCCTCCTCCTCCCGTGCCCCCCCCCAGTGGGGTGGACCACATGCGTCCGCAACACCCAGTGCAGCGTTTCGTGGCCTCATAAGGAGCTCCACTGAAGGCCCCAGTGGTGTGTACCACATGAGTCTGCCACACCCAGTACGGCGTTTCGTGGCCCCATAGGGAGATCCACCGAAGGCCCCAGTTGGGATGGCCACGTGCGTCCGCCACACCCAGTACAGCGTTTCGGAGCCCCATAGGGAGCTCCACGCAAGGCCCCAGTGGCCGTCCGTCGCGGTGGCAGCTGCGCGGGCTGCGCGGGCTGCGCGGGCTAGAGGGGCCCTCCCGACGTGCGACGGCGCTGCGCTCGTTTCGGCTGCCGTCCGCGCTGCTGCGGATGGCCTTGCGCCTCGCCGCACGATCGCGGCGGTCGCCCGCGCGGCAGTGGCAGCCGCAGCCTCGGCTGCGCTCGACGCGCCGCGCGTGCTGACAGCTGACGAGGAGGTCGACGAGGAGAAGCAGGAGAAGAAACCGACGCCGCCGTCGGCAGCGAAGGTGGAGCGCCGACTGCGTCGGCGCCGCCGCCTGGCGGAGGCGCGCGCTGCTTGGCGCGCTGGTCCGCCTGCTGCTGGCGGAGGTGCGGGAGCTGCTGCCGCTGGAGCGACGGCCGTGGGCCCTGGGCCCGCGGCCGCGGGGGAGGCGGACGCAGACGGCGCGATGAGCGTCTCCACTGGCGCTGGAGGGGGGGGCGTGCGCGGGCTGCGGGCTCGCGCTGGCCGTCCTGGGGGCGCCGGTGGACGTCGACGGCGTCGAGTCCGACGAGTGGGCGGACGTGCTGCCGCCGCGCTCCTCGCGGCCTCGGCGGCGTGGTGCCGCTGTTGGCGACGGTCGTCGAGGACGCGGTGCCGCGGGCCGCGGCGATGCTGCGGCGACGGTGCCCTTCCACTGGATGGCGGCGCGGAGGCCGCAGGTACCGAGGTGGTGGCGGGCGGCGGTGGCGGCCCTGGGCGGCGGCGGCGGCGGAGGCGCCGCGTGCTGCCTGGCCCCGCTCCTGCCCTTCCCGATGCTGCTGAGGCTGTTCCCGCTGTTAGGAAGGCGGAGGATGAGGTGCACCTGGACGATGCGTGGGCTGACGCCCTCCCGTTCCGCCGTGGCTGCGGCGTGAGGGAGGCGGCGGGGCCTGGCCGTCCTGGTGGCGCAGTCGGCGCAGCGGAGGGGCCTTCCTCGGAGCCTGGGCCGTCCGAGGAGCCGGTGGGCCAGCTCCTAGCGGCGGCGATCGCGCTGTTGCAGCGCTACGTGGACTGGGACCCCAACCGCGATGCCGAGCTCCGCGCTGAGCTCTGGCGCAAGCTTCAGGTGCGCGGGCTCGCATGATGCCCTGCGCGGCGCGGGCGTGTGGCGAGGCGGGCCGCTCGTTTTGCGTCTCGGCGGGCTCCCCTCTGCCTCCCGCGTAGTGGGGCCGTCCGCATGCGTTCCGCGCGCCCAATTTGGCATTTTCACCCAGTACAGCGCTTCGTGGCCCCATCGGGAATTCCACCGAAGCCCCCAGTGGGACCGCTTGCATGCGCCCCGCACGCGCAATTTGACATTTTCACCCACCCTGTACAGCGCTTCGTGGCCCCAACAGGGAGCTCCACGGAAGCCCCCAGCGGGACCGCCCACATGCGTCCCATACGTACAATTTGGCAGTTTCACCCACCCAGTACAGCGATTCGTGGCCCCATAGGAAGCTCCACCGAAACCCCCACTGGGACCGTCCGCGTGCGCCCCGCACTCCCAATTTGACATTTTCGCTCACCCACTGTAACGTTTCGTGGCCCCATCAGGAGCTCCACCCAAGCCCCCGGTGGGACTGTCCGCGTGCGCCCCGGAAGCCCAAGTTGATATTGTCACGCACCCAGCACAGCGCTTCGTGGCCCCATAGGGAACTCCACCCAAACCCCCAGTGGGACCGTCCGCGTGCGCCCCGGAAGCCCAATTTGGCATTTCCCACACCCAATTTTGCATTCTCGCCCACCCAGTACAGCGCTTCGTGGCCCCATCGGGAAATTCACAGAAGAAGCTATTCACAATTGGGTCCTTCGCCAAGATATGTTTTGACTACGTGGAGGTATTTCCCAACCATATTGTGGTGTTGGGTTTTCGTCTTTCAGAAACGGTCCCCGCGTCTCGTCCCTCCCGCTGCCCCCCCTCCCACTGGGGGTGGCCACATGCGTCCGCCACACACAGTGCAGCGCTTCGTGGCCCCATAGGGAACTCCACCTACGGCCCCAGTGGGGGTGGCCACATGCGTCCGCCGCGCCCAGTACACCGCTTCGTGGCCCCATAGGGAACTCCACTTGCGGCCCCAGTGTGGGTGGCCACACGCGTCCGCCACACCAAGTACAGCCCTGCGTGGCCCCATAGGGAACTCCATATGCGGCCCCAGTGTGGGTGGCCACATACGTCCGCCACACCCAGCACAGCGTTTCGTAGTCCCATATTGAGGCTCCACCTACGGGCCCAAGCGGGGGTGGCCACATGCGTCCGCCACACCCAATACAGCGTTTCGCGGCCCCATAGGGAACTCCATCTGCGGCCCCCGCGTGGGTGGCCACATGCGTCTGTCACACCCAGTACAGCGTTGCGTGTCCCGTGGGGGGAGGTCCACCCAAGGCCCCAGTGGGGGTGGCCACATGCGTCCGCCACACCAACTGCACCGTTTCGTTGCCAAATAGGGGGGTCCACCTAAGGCCCCAGTGTGGGTGGCCACATGCGCCCGCCACACCCAGTACAGCGTTTTGTGGCCCCATATGTAACCTCACCGAAAGCTCCAGTGTGAGTGGCCACTTGCGTCCGCCACGCCCAGTACAGCGCTTCGTGGCCACATTGGGAGCTCCACCTAAGGCCCCAGTGGGGGTGGCCACATGCGTCCGCCACACCCAGTGCACCGTTTCGTGGCCCCATAGGAAGTTCCACCCAAAGCCCCAGTGGGGGTGGCCACATGCGTCCGCCACACCCAGTACAGCGCTTCGTGGCCCCGTAGGGAGCTCCACCTGCGGCCCCAGTGGGGGTGGCCACATGCGTCCGCCACACCCAGTGCACCGCTTCGTGGCCCCATAGGAAGTTCCACCCAAAGCCCCAGTGGGGGTGGCCACATGCGTCCGCCACACCCAGCACAGCGTTTCGTGGTCCCATACTCAATACAGCGCTTCCTGGCCCCATAGTGAGGTCCATCTGCTGCCCATGTGGGGGTGACCACATGCGTCCGCCGCACCCAGTACAGCGTTTCGTGGCCTCATGGCAGCTCCACCTGCGGCCCCATTGGGGGTGGCCACACAGCCACACCCAGCACAACGTTTCGTGGCCCATAGGGGACCTCACCGAAGGCCCCAGTGGCACCGCCCGCATGCGTCTCCCCCACCCATTATGGCACGTCCCTCGCGCGTTTCGTGGCCCCATAGAGCTCCACCGAAAGCGTCACCCACAACGCGCTACTCATAACTACATATGGTTGGGTCGGTCTTTCGCCAGGATGTTTTGTGAGTGTTTTCGATTTTTCGTCCAGTGTCCCCCTGTACGGGGACAGGACCGGCCTACGGGACGGCTTACAAAACTTTTCAGAAGGCCGGGGGGCTTCCGAACCTTCTGAGAAGGCCTTCTCCTGCTCACTTCCGCCCCGGGCTCGCCGTCGAGTCCGAGGTGGATGGGGTCGGAGGATCGCGCCGCATCGCGATGCATGGCGATGTCGCGCGGTCGCACCCTATTCATGTGGAATAGCGATCAGGACGGGCGTCCCTCTTGGTCTGCATGAAAACGCTGTCTTCCCCGTTATCTTTGCAAAGTCGGGGCTCATCAGGAATATAGCGTCCATCCCAGCCTCTCGCGTAGTTACATGATCCCAGCCCTTCGCGTACTTGCATGATCCCTTTCCCGGCGCTTAATCAATGTCTCATCACGGAAGTCTCTAGGAATGGCGTCAGTTCTTATTTATCCAAACGGTGCTTACGCTCATGGCTCTTACTCACAGTGGAGGCCGATGCCAAGAAACGCCGTGCTCGCTTCCAGGGTGCCCTGGGTTTCTTGGGTTTCGATACCTTTGCGATGGACAGCGTGACGCCCCCAAGCCAGAAGCCAGTTGACGCTCTGGGGTCTTAGGGTTGAGTCGGGCCTGTCCCTCTACAGGAGAACTATTCAAAACAAAACAATCAAACATAGACTGGGGACGATTCTTCTTTGACTATGTCTGGTAACTCTGGAGTACGTTTTTGACTATTCTTTAGTTTTCGTCCGAACTCCGCCTGTAGGGGGGACATGGCCGACCTAATCTTCCAGGCGGGCGAGCCTTGCTGGAGAGACTTTTGTGCCCTC